CACACAGCAACAAACATGGGCTTCCTGAACCCAGTCACTGTGCTCAGCATGGAGCTGTCTGTGGCAGATGCTCAGCTTAGAAAGAATTATTGTTGGATAGATCACACGCAAGAAAATGGTTAAAAAGTCCTAAGGGTGAGGGGTGGAGGGAAAATCTTTACATTCTGGTTGGAACAAACCAGCTGTAAAATACAATTTGGGACAGCCAGGAAACACGTGTGGCAAAATGTTGATGGTTGTAGAATGTGGGTGATACAGAGATGGATGCTCACTAATACTCCTTTTTCTACCTCCCTATACATTTGAAAAAAATTTTTAAAGATTATTTATTTATTTAGAGAGCATGCACGTGAGTGGGGGAGGGGCAGAAGGAGAGGGAGAGGCAGACTCCCTGCTGAGTACGGCACTGAGGGCTCACCCAAGGACCCTGAGATCGTGACATGAGCCGAAATCGGGAGTTGGACTGACTGAGCCACCCAGGCGCCCCTACGTTTGAAAGTTTTATGAGTGAAAACCCCACTAATGGGTATGGAAGAAATATGGATATCCAAAAGGCCACTCAAAACCCTTTTTTCGGGCGCCTGGGTGGCTCAGTTGGTTAAGCCACTGCCTTCAGCTCAGGTCATGATCCTGGAGTCCCGGGATCGAGTCCCACATCGGGCTCCCTGCTCAACGGGGGGTCTGCTTCTCCCTCTGACCCTCTTCCCTCTCATGCTCTCTGTCTCTCATTCTCTCTCTCAAATAAATAAAATCTAAAAAAACACAAAAAACAAAAAAACAAAACCCTTTTTTCTTTGCCTTACTATTTGATAAAGGCCAGACGAGAAAAGATTCATCTTCTCAGACTCACTTGCAACTAGGAACGGCCGCTGAGTGCCGGAGCGCTGGCCAAGCAAATGCAGGAGATCCCTGGGGAGGGTTTCCGTTACTCTCCCAAAACACATGCCTTCACGGGCTGAGACCTTTTGGCTCTTTCCTTTTGTCCTGGCCGCAACATGGATGGAGACGCAGCAGCCTTCTTGTGACCATGAGAACCAGATCCATGTGCTAAGGATATAAGTCAGGAAGGTAAAAGGAAGTGGGGACAGTGATGGTGTCAAGGAGCTGCTAACCAGGCCTGAACTGATTATCCACCTGATTTCCTCTCTAGCAGGAAAACCAGGAAAACACCCCCCCCAATTAAACCATGGTATCAGTTAAGAATTGTGTTTACCTGTAAGTAACAGACAGAATTCCTTACTCTCGTGGCTTAAAAAAGTCAGAAGCTTTATTGTCTCGCACTGTAAGAAGTCAGAGGATAGGACGTTCGGGACTGGTTTGGTGGCTTTATCATGTTGTCAATGGCACTTCCTCTATCTTTTTCGCTTTTCCGTTCTTGATGTGTTGATTTCTTCCCCATGGTCACAAAATGGCTGCCGTACCTCCCTGCGTCCCATCTGCATTTCAGGCAAAAAGAAGTATATATCTCCTGAGCTCAAACAGTGTCAAATGGCCGCATGTGGCTGCATCGTGGCTAGGAAAAAAAAAACAAAGCAATTGCCTTTTCAATGTCTACAGTTGATGAAACAATGTAGGTTGGTCTCTCAACATCCATTCCTCATTACTTTCTCTCTTGCCGTCCTCTACTGTGTCACGGGCAGTTCTTCTCCTCCTCCCTCTTCCAACGCTCCCTTGTGAAGGAGTTATTTATAACCTCACCGAGGAGGCTGGGAATCTTTTGAGTCCCTGACAGTGCCCGCCACCACTAAATCACATTTGTTGAATTAATAAACTGTAACTGCCTCTTATTTTCTGAGATTCTACTCCCCCAGATAATTCTGCAATTGGTGACACAAGATAAAGCAGGGCTGGGGAAAGGTCAAGAAAAATAGAGGCTTAAGTATGTATGGAGCCTTGAAAGTCAGAGTGGTAGGATAATGGATTCAATTTTTTTTTGTTTGATATTTTATTTTGATGTAGACACTCCTGATTCTGGTAATGCTGGGCTAGATCATTCAGACCAATCCTCCCACTAAATACAATGTAAGAGCTGAATAAAATCTAAAAGCATCTTTTTAAAGGCATCAAAGACTTACCCAGAGAGTAAGGAATTACTGGGGCCAAGTTCTGAGAGTGGGCAGGATCCAGACAGGTCGACCTAGCACTGGGAGCCAGTTTTGCCCTTCGGGGCATTTGCTGATCTGGAGGAAGGGTAAGAGTGTGAGTTGGGACTTAAGCACTTTGTAGGGCTTGGGGCAAAAGCCAAGGTCCAAGGACCACCAGGGCTTGGGATTGATAACCACCTGCTTTGGCCGGGGTCTAAAAGGACCACTCCTTGTGGATAAGGGTGAACCAAGAAAACCAGCCCTAAAACAGACCATGGCCTTCTGGTTACCCCAGAAAATCTCAAACCCTGAATTTGGAGCAAGACAATTCTAGAAAGCTTGTGTCCCCCAGACACCTGGCAAAAGATGTAGAAAATCCTCCTTGGAGAAAGATGACATCATCTTAGTCCTCAAATTTCTGCAAAGAACTTAAAACCTGCTTGACACACAGCAAAAACTTAGTGGACATAGGAAGAGTGAGGACTCCGTCAGCACAAACCAGCAGAAGCAAAAGACAATAGATCAAACCGAAGGAACTCAAAATATTTGAATGATTCCCATCTTCCTGTGATATTTTCTTATTATTTTGGTGCTACAAAACTTATACGGTATAATTACAACCGTGGTGGCTGATATAAGGAAATGGTTGATGTACAGTGAAAGGTAAACAGAGCTCGAAGGCAGCACAGACCCATGGTGGTGGTAGGTAGTTTCTGCAAGTGGCCAACTCTGGTGTCCGTTTCATCCTTTTTCATTTCCGTATTTTCCAAATTTTCTTTAACGAGGATTTATGCTAGAAGACATACACATGAAAGAGAAAGTGATAAAGACTGTAACCCAGAGTGGGGCTGGATTCACAGGTGCAAAACCTCCACAGTTGCCCAAGGTCCTGTGGTCAGAAGGGCCTCACACTTGGATGAATGCTCTGCTGCTTCTATCTTGAAATTCTTTTTTTTAAAAGATTTTATTTATTTATTTGAGAGAGAGAGAGCATGAGAGGGGGGAGGGTCAGAGGGAGAAGCAGACTCCCCGCCGAACAGGGAGTCTGATGCGGGACTCGATCCCAGGAACTCCAGGATCATGACCTGAGCTGAAGGCAGTGGCTTAACCGACTGAGCCACCCAGGCGCCCCTCTGTCTTGAAATTCTTAATAATTTTGAACAGGGAGTCCTCCCAGTCCTGCATAGCCAGCCCTCACCCAGAGGCAGTTAAACGCTGATCCGTGGACCCTATGTCAACAGCCACTGGGCTTGCTCTGGTTTCTGTACCTCCCACTGAAAGGCATCTAGTTTATGAGTTGGAGGTGTGCCCAAACAGCTGCAAGAATGTTGGGGTATGGCGGGGAGCCCCCTGGGCCAGGAGTGTGCAGGTCTCATCCTAGCTCTGTCCTGGCGAGTCTAGGACTAGCTCTCTGTAAGTCATTCCCTTCAGCTCCAAAGCTGTGCACATGGCATTTAGCACACCAGTGTCAGAATCGATCAACAACTATTTATTTAGTGTGCACTCTGCAAGACAGCAGGTGCTCTGAGATCCATTCTCACGATGTGCTTCCAGGCTCCCAAGAACTATCTGAAATGACTGGAACCCCTCTGGGCTCTTTCAGAAATCCCTTACACAGGAAGCATGGAGCATTTCCAAGATGCTGGGCCACTGGGGCAAAGTGTGCAGATTATAACCCTACCATTTATCGAACGTGTAGCCAGGGCCAGGCCCTGCACTAGGTTCTTATGTTCCCACTTAACCCCTTGACATGGATTGGTAGTACGCTTACCCGATTTTTTTCAGATAAGGAAACCGAGGTTTAAAGAGATTAAGGAACTTTCGCGAAGGGGTGCGACTCCAGAGGCACATGCTCTTGACAGTTCCATGTACCAGCACCAATAGCAGAGCCCCCCACGGCTGCCTCTTCAGCCCAGACAGGGTCTGGGTCCCCCAAGGTCAGATGGCGGGGGAGGGCGGGCGCTCGGAGGGAAAGCCGCTGCTCCAGGCCTTTGCAAATGCGGCCCCGCGTGAAAGGCGCTACACGAGCAGTGCTGGGGCCCACGGGCTCGTCCCGCGTCCGCAGCTACGCAAGGCCGGCCTGCTCGGGCGGCGCTGCGAGCACCGCCGGGCGGCGGCCGCGGCGGGGCGCGAGTACGCTCGGTCCCCGCCCGCAGCTCCCACCTCCTCAGACGCACGTGTCCCGAGTCCCCGCCCGCGCCGCCCGCCGCAGGTGTCCTGGGAGAGGCGGGCGAGCACGGCGCCGACGCCCCCGCCGCAGCTCGGCGGGCGGGGAGGGCGCGCTCGCGGGAGCCGGAGCCCGGGGCCGGGGCCGGGGCCGAGGCGGCGGCGGCAGCAGGTGGAGCGAGCTCCGCGGCGGGCCCGGCTCCTGGCCTGAAACCCGCCGCTGCGGACGCCGGGGCGCAGGCAGGCCCCGCGGGGCCGGAGCCGTGCGCGCCCGGTCCAGCCTGGTTGCCGGGGAGGTCGGGTCGCCGCGCGGGGCACCCGCCCCTCCGACCCCCGCAAGACCTGAGCTCGCGGGAGGGAGCGCCGGCGGCTCTGCGGTCTGGGAGGAGCTCTGCGCGCGGCGCGGGAGGGTCCCGGCTGGCGCGTCCGCCTCTCCTCGGGCTCGGGCGCCTGGTTGGCCTCGGGGGCTCTCTGGCTGCGCTCGCCTGCACGAGTTCTCTACTGACTGGTTTCCTCGGTTTGGGGACTGTTCCCGCCAGCGACGCCGGAGCACCTTGCCGTGTGTCCGCGGGCGGGCGGGTTGGCGTCCGGGCCGCCGCCACTTCGGGATCCCGGCTCTGCTCGCCGCCCCTGACCCTCGAGGCTCCCCGGCCTCCGGCCTCGACGCGAAGGTGCCGACCTAGCCCTGTCTGCCCCTCTAGGAGGGAGTGCGGTCCTCGAGGGGCGCTGGCCTCCCAGGACCTTCTTGGTGTGCCTCGGGACTGGGGTGTGCGCGGCCCCGCCGCTGGCCATGGCCTTCACTTTCGCTGCTTTCTGCTACATGCTGTCCCTCGTGCTGTGCGCCGCGCTCATCTTCTTCGCCATCTGGCACGTGAGTAACCGGCAGCGGCTCCTAACTCTTCTCTTTCGCCCCGTCCACCCTCTCCTTCCCCGCTTTCTCTCAAGTGCACCTGACCTGGCGCGAGCCGCGGACCCGGAGGCCAGCCGCCGCGCACCTGCAGGCTGCACCCTAGGCCGGCCCGGTCCCGGGCCCGGGGACAGTTAGCGGCATCCCGAGCCCGCGGCGCGCGCGCCCTGGGCGCCCGGCTGCTGGCGGGGGGCGGAGGGAGCGCCGGTTCCCGGGCGAGGCCCCCAGTGCTGGGCCTGGGGCGCGGGGCGGCACCCCCGCCTACCCTGCTCCTCCCTGCCCGCGGGGAGCGAAGGAGGGGCGCTGCTGTCGTCCCGGCAATTAGTCAAGTAACTATAACAACTAAACATTGAAAATGTCAGCGTCTGCGGTGGGCTGCGTTTAGACACGTTTGTAGACAAAGCGGAAACACGACGGGAGCGCCGCTGGAGAGGGCGCGCGGCGAGCGGGACCCGGAGGGGAGGGGGCCAGCGGCGGGGGTCGCCTGTCCCGCGGGGAGAGGCCCCGGCGGGCGATGAGTTTCCCTGTCCTCCGCTGCCCCGGGCCCAGCCACCCAGCCCCTGCAGGGCCCCCGCAGGTGGCAGACTCCCCGCCCCCGGCGTCCTGCGGTCCCCCCCCAACCCCGGGCCGGCTGGGGGGCAGTCGGGGAGGGTTCGGCAGGTGCAGTGGGGAGTCTGGGACGTGCAGCACTTCTGCATAGGGGCACGGGGAGGCCGCCGTACAGAAATGGTGCCACACTCGGCAAGCGCAGCGCTCTCAGGGCCCCCTTCTCTGAGGCTGTTTCCGCCCCCTGCCCTCGCCGGCCGGGAGCTGGTGGGAAGAAGGGCAGAGGTCGGGAGTTCCAGACGGAGCCGGGCCCCGCAGCCTCAGCGCCCAGCGAGTCCGGGGGCGGGGAAGGACCCTGGGATGGGTTCCTGGAGGCTCGTCTCCATCTCCAGCCAGCCTTACAGGGCGCGTCTGCAGGGGCGGATGCCCCACCAGAAGAGTTGCAGGGTGGGTGAGATGCTGGTGTTTCGTAGGGGCGGTTTCTGGAGTGAGAGGGTTTCTCTTAAGATGAAACTAAGCTAGAGCCGGTCCTGTTCCCCGGCTCTCTGGGAGCAAGAACAGGGACCCCGGCAGCAGGCTAGACGCTCCCTTCCACGTCCCCAAAGTGACCGTTGACCTGGGGGGTCCCCAGGCTTCCCCCTTGCGTCTAGATGGTGCAAGTCTGTGAATCAGTAGGTTTAGGAAGGGGGGTGGTTGGAGAAGGAATTCAGACACAGGAATTTCAGGGCTGATCAAAAATCGGGCAGCGAGAAGTGATGGGATTTTGTGGCCTCTCCTCCCCTGGCCCGGGATTCTGGGTCTAATTCTCTCTGCAGAAAGGAGCCTCGAGTTGTTGACGTTGCTAAGGGAGAAGGAAACTTTACCTAATTTAGAACAAATAGGGGTGCAGAACAGATCACGCCCAAACAGCGCAGCACATACCTGCTCATGTGTTTCAAAGGAGCTTTCTGTGCTTCCCCGGATCGGGGGAGTCATTTGCATTCCCGAAGGCTAACGACTCCCCCTTTTTGGGAATACTTCAGTTGCTGTTTCTTTATGTTCTTGTCTTGGCCAGAGGGTGGCAGGTAGCTGAGAGCTCCATCAAGTTGTCAGCACTGGGGTTCTCTGAACAAGCCCCTGGAGCAGAGCAGGTAACCAGCAAGAATTTCCTCTCACTCGGGGGAAGATAAATAATTCAAGAGCAGGTTAATTAAATGGATGGTGTGTGCAGCTGGTTGACTAATAGACGTGTGAATCGAAGCCAGCAGTGGGGTGATGATCCCCTTTCGGCCTCCGCTCCGCTTCCCAGCGATCACCCCCCTTGTCCAGGGGGTAGTCGAATGCCGATGGGTACTGACCAGCTTCCCAGTGGGAATGTCAAGATTCTAGTTTCTGATAAGAAAAAGAACCAGTGCTGTTTGAATTCCGATTATGAGCATGGCCAAGTCTCTAGCCTCTGTTCTTTCCTGAGTCTTTTCCTTCCCCCTGTCTCAGAATCAAACAGCCCAGAGCCTCCCCGCGTTGATTTGGCTCCTGAGCATTGAAAGGGGAAATCAATGCGAATGTTGTGTGTGTGGGTGTTGCCTATATGGTGGTAATTACTTCCATGGAAATTTAGGCTGTGTGTTTGCTTTCTTTCTGGCTTCTTATCTTCCCTACATATTTCTTGATCTGATAAGCCTTATCGATTGCTTAGCATATATTAACATCGCTGGCAATGCATTGGGCACTTAGCAACATACTGCAGTTAAAAAGCCTGCCGCATCCGCCGTGTGCTGGCTGTTAAGACAGGAAGACGGCACCTTTTTCTTACTTACCTTCCTAAAGGTAATAATAGTAGCTACCACTTAATGACCGTGACCAGCCGGCGAGTTCTAGGCACTCAGTGAGGACCTGTCAGATGTCCCTCTGGTTTTACTCCACCCCCCCCCCCCCCCCGCCGAGTGGATGTGGCCATTCGCACCTTGCTTTCAAGTCTCATGTTTTACTTTGAAAATTTATTTGCATCTGTTTTCAAATGAAAATAATTTGAATTGTCGATTAATTTTTTATCAGCCACTGTTTGTCACATTTGGAACAGGCAGAATAAAAGTGAGGGTCTGTTTTTTGTTTGGGGTGTGTGTGTGGCGGCGGTGGGGGGGGGCTTTGTGTGCCTTCAGGCACATGGGCTCTTACTGTCCCTGGCAGTCCTGCACTTCTCACAGCTGACATTTTATAGATCCAGGGAATGGTGGATCAGAGAGGTTATGAAACTTGCCCGAGGTTGCACAGCTGGTGTGTGCTGGAGCTGGGATTTGAGCTGAGTCTGAGCCTGATGTGCCCATGTGGTCTTTCTTTCTTTCTTTCTTTTTAAATATTTTATTTATTTATTTGACAGAGAGAGACATAGTGAGAGCAGGAACACAAGCAGGGGGAGTGGGAGAGGGAGAAGCAGGCTTCCTGCCGAGCAGGGAGCCCAATGCGGGGCTCGATCCCAGGACTCTGAGATCATGACCTGAGCCAAAGGCAGACGCTTAACGACTGAGCCACCCAGGTGCCCCCCATGTCGTCTTTCTAACTCAAGTTACTATCTTTGGCTTGTTTAACTTTGATAATAGTAGATAATGTTTTTACGCAGCAGATTACCTTTCTCTAGTATAAATGAAGTATTTGGGGCTGGAATTTCTGATTGGAGTTACAACAACAGAGACATCTAACACATTCTATATCCTTTTAAAAAAGAGGAGATCCTGTTCCAGTCTTTAAAAAATTAGTTTTTCTGCTTATAAAATGATACAGGTTCCTTGCCGAAAAATTTGAAAATACAGGGACATATATGGAACAAAATAACCATTAGTCGTATTCTGCAGGAAAGATTTGGGGGTCTCTTTTTCCAAACATTGCGTATCTGTGTATTTAAAAAAATTGCATATGGATGTTTAGAAGGAAGAAAGGTGTTCTGAAGGGTTTGAGATGTGAAGTGAATTCTATTTCCAGCCGATACAAAATGAACAGTGTTTACTGGCAAGAGCACGCTCAGCCCTGGCTCGGTTGGGCCTTTTGCAGACGGTCGCATTTATATAAATACAGATGCAAACATTCTTGGAAAAGATCAAAGACTCATTTCAGGTTTTTAGCTTTCGAAGTTTTTTGTTGTTGTTTTTAACACCTAGAGTCACTTGTAAGACCTCCGAGTTTTGACAACATACAAATAAAATGAATTCCCGATACTATTTCTTGGGATGCACAGCAGCGTTTGCTGGGGGGGGCGGGTGCTTGCAGGGGCCCCGGCAGGTGATAAGAGCACATATTGACTGAGAGGCAGTTTTGTTGGGCAGAATGGCGTCCTGGTGGAGCCTCGCGGCCAGTCCCAGCCTCTCACGGATCCAGCCCCGAGGACCCGGTGAGCTGAGCGCTGAGACCTCTCAGTCTCTCCACTATCCATCTGGAAACAAGAAGTAGTTGATGTGACATGGTGGGTTGTCTGGGCTTGACACTGGCCTGGCTTTGGAAGACCCCACTTTGGTCTGCTCAGCGATGCACCGTCCCTTCCGTCTGGGACGTCCCATGCCCAGTGTGGGGTCTGCAGCTGCAGCCTCCCCGCCCCACCTCCCCCAGCACTGCCGCACAGTGGGTGTGGAAGGAAGCTCCCTGAGCACAGCCAGCTTTTCTGGGTCACCCTTGTTCTCCAGAGCGGAGGATGGGGCTGGGCTTGTGCACGGGGCTCAGCAAATGCTCGGGGGGTGATTTCTTGTTCCCTTCTGGCTGACGTGGTGACTCATTTCGGAATTGGCTTCCGGCTACTTCTCTGGGGCTGTTCCCTGGGTGGTTTGGGCATGTGCGTTTTCTGCGGTAGCCTGGCATTTTGGAACTCTGGGACCTGTTGCTTTTACAGAAGAGGACCAGCCACGAGCAGGGGTGCGGGGCTGGTTCTCCTGCGGGGCACAGCCTGGGGACAGGTGCTGACAGTTCCCAGAGAGGGCCCCTTAGGTAAGGGGTGCTGTCTGTGTCGCCTCGGGTCACCTGGCTGTTGGCTGGTGGTCTTCCTCGACTACCCCCGCAGGGGACAGCCTCTGGCCTCCGGTATTCCCCCCACAGTCAGGCAGGAGAGAGGAAGGAGGGTGCGGAATTCAGGGAGGCACTGGCCCCCATCCCCACTGCTCGGTGAGGTTCGGAGCCTGATGGGGGGGATGTTGGGGGGCCCCTGTGACATTTGACTTCGACGTGAGCGTCGCTGAACAGACAGTAAAGGCAGAGACCGTTGGGAAGCCTTTGCCAGGTAGCACCCCAAAGCCAGCTGGGCAGAGTCCTCTCCTGAATCCCGAGGCCTGGTGACCTCGCTTCACTCCTGTCCAGCACCCGTACACCCTGCCCGCGGCTCTGCATGGGCATCTCCCTTGTGCTCCCCCTCCCAGTTCGTCGGCAAACCAGTTCCCCTGGCGCTCCGCTCTCCTAGCGCT